TTATAGTTCACTTGGAATTTTCCTGAAAATTTGGCTCAAAATCTCGTCTGCAATTTGGCCAAGAATTTGGCGAGCAATGGGACCGCCACAAAACGGACAGGTAGATCTGAAAAGTAAAAAAGTAGGAGTAGTCAGTTTGACAAGGTGACAGTAAAATCAGTATTAAATTGCTCCATAATTGAAGTGCTATTATCCTTTCGCTGTACATTAATGGAGGAAATAGGTGTTTTAGTCTCAGACCCTAAGTTAATAATACTTTATTATAAAATTGCTGTTTATGCACTCGAGCTAAATGTAACAAAGAACTAAATGCAATTTTAAAAATGTACAAAACAAACAACTTTATAAAATATGCTTTTTTAGAAAAGATTAGTTGGCGGAAGAAGTTTAAAGGGAGGCTCCAATCGGTATGTGGAACTGCGTTAGCTCCAAAGGAATTGACTGACAAACAGCCATTGAAAGTTACCCTGTCTTCGGGATCTAAGGACCTCTATATGGAGCTTAATTATTTTCTGTTATTGAGCCTTTTTACTCCTATACTCAGTTATTACACCCTATTGACTATCTACAGCGGTATCTACAGGAAGATGAAGACAATAGAATCGTAGATAAAAGTAAAAACTAATCGCCTGTCTGGCCTAGAATAAGAATTTCAGAATCGAGAAGACCGGGTCCAGGGGATTGTCAACTGAACGAGCGTGGAAAAAAGTCAGGAAAAATGTTTGAACATTTATGATTAAGTACACTACTGACTCACGTCGAATTTGCACGGTATTCCAAAGAGAAGTGGTTTGCTTGTTGTTCCCATGCTTGTACGCCTGTTTCCATATTTATATTCTGAGGATACAGAAAAAAATGTTTACTTACGTACAGATTTGCTCCCAATATGTTGTACTGAATCTGAGCAAAATTAATTTGTCTGGAATATTTACGATCGAGAACATTTTTCTGCCGTTCAGAAATTTAATAGTTGCCTGTGTTTTTTTTTTTTTCAATTCAGACCATGTGATGTTCTTAAAGGAGTCACAGTTGTCTTTTCAAAGTTATGAACTCTTACGTGCGTGGATATAACTAATTAAAAGAAACAGTTCTCTGGGGATACAGCAAGTGGTCTGAAATGGGAAAGAAAAACAGACAAAATAAGGTCTATTCCTGAACAGCAAAAGAACTACAAGAATTACATACCGTTCTGAATGTATACTGTCAACTGATTTATGTTAATTTGGATCTATTTGACCCCCAAGCAGGGGCTTTTAAACAGGGAGAGTAGCTCAAAATGAACTGAAAATCGTCTAAATCTTGGCTAAGAGTTAAGGAAAGCCCCATCAAGTAAGGTAGTTTTTTTTCATATTTTGTATAAAGGAACAGTATAACAGTAGTTCTACGTTGTCCAGTGTTGTTTCTCTCACAATGCCTCGGATTTAATTGTCCAATTCCACCCACCTCTGTTTGGTTAGTAACTTGGTTGAAATTCCATGAAGACTCCTGATCTAGAACAGGCCCTCCTTGCGCCGAAATGCAGAAGTTTCTTGTCATAACAGAAGCATTTCTTCTCACTGCCGTATTCATGATCGGAGAGTCAACATCAACTGGCAATTGAACGTCTCTGTATATCTCAATGTACAGCTGGCTTACTGAAAATTACAAAAGAGATCCAAGCGAAGACTTAGCAAGCTTTCCCTTGCTTGTGCTTTTCAAACTTGTAAATGAAATTTGCGAAGAAAATATGCCATCGATTCCGCTAAGAGATTACAATGAAAAACGTGTTAATCAAGAAGTCATAAGCTTTAACTGTACTTGAGAATTGGGGAATCATCGATGAGATCTAGAATCTTTAACATTTACACAGTAAGTCATTTGTACATGTGTAGACAAGACAAGACTTAACTATGTATTGATGCAACAAAAGTTGTGAGGTCGTTACTTCAATGAATTTTGATTCTGTCAGTAGCTATGGCCACACCAGATTTTGAGTGTCTCAGGACATTTAAACTTTCTTTGTTGTTGTTGTTTTTTTCTTTGTTATATATCAAACTAATGATGACCATATCTATCGACAACTCGCCAGAAATATCGTAGGCAAACGAGTTGCCTGATTGATCCACAGGCCTCAACTTTGTTAAACCTTATTATATATACTGCTCTCAAAGAGTTTTATACTTGGTAGAGCTCAACAACCCGTTTTATACGCGAATAAAATGAGCGCCTAAAGTCAGACAAATCAAAGAGATAGCTAAGAGATCTACCAAGAAGTACCTTCTGCAAACCAAATTTCAAGCCATTTGAGTAAGAATGGCATAAACTGAGTTCCGTTCTATGTTCTAACAGTTCAGGAGTGATACCCGCTGATAACTCTGTTATTCGGCTTTACTTTTCCTCTTTGTGCGCGTCGAAGAAGAGAAACATGAATTTTTGTAGTAAGCAGGAAGGATATCAAATCTCCTGTGGCTTTTAGTGAAGCAAGAGACTCTATGATACAATGCTGAGCAGGCCTCATACATGTATGTAAGGCATGGGAACAGCCTCCGCGCTGTTAGTTCTCCAATTAGGAGGGGGGCGTAAGGGGGGTCCAAAAACCGCAAAACCGCACAGAAATACGCCAAAAAACCGCAAACCGCATCGGACTTTTTCCCGAATACCGAAACCGCGCGTACATGTAGGCCACAATATGAAAGCTCACGTCAGCAAGACTTGTGATATATTCTGATGACATTGTGCCTTAGTATTAAACATACCATCATAACACTAACTAACTAACTAACTAACTAAACTATGACCGCTGATTGATAATTAAAGGGATTTCACTAATTGAGTACAGACTCAGCACATGGTGACTTGACCTTTTACTGCTGGCCGCCCAAATCTCCAAGGTTTCCAAAGGTGTTGTTATTTTTGGACAGTCGACAAACGAGGAAATATCACTCTATATAGACCTTTCTATAAATTAAACCTGTTTAAAAGGAGTCGTTAGTCGTTTACAGGACAAAAACCCTGAGAGTTTTGACTCAAAATGGACGAAATGGTCTTAAACAAACACCATTAACAAGCCAGTATCGTATATCGAACAAGACGCTACGGAGCGTACACTTCGACGTCGTGGTTGTGGAACTAATTAATTGTAAATGCGGAGGAATAGTAAGAAATCAAATATGGTAAGAGTAAGGTGTTAATTTGTGAAATTATGGGATTTGTCAGGATATTCTGAAAAGAGCAACATCCAAGAGGCCTACTTGCCAAAAACTAGCATTTCGGGACAAATTGTCTCCGAGATATTAGCCCAGTTATGCTCTGATGACTCCATACAAATCCTTCTAAAAAAACAATTCTCTATTTTTCTCAGTTACATCAGGCTTCAAAAACAGCATAGCAGTCTCATGTACTGATTAAAGATATGTAAGGCATGGGTAAGGAGTCAATTACGTTGAGCATGGAATTGGCTAAAACTCAAAGTCACGAGTTCGAATGTTTTGAGGATAATTATTCACTGACTATCAGCACGCAGGGATGTCGGATTAACACAAGGAAGTTTAACACCAAAGGAACATAACCTTTACAGAGCTTTAAAACACAGCATCCACCAACACAAACTTGACTTGAACTTTGAGTAAAACTAAACAGCCTCTACCAATAATAACAAACTCTCACTTGAACTTCAGATATCTTACGACTTCCGCGAACTTGTAAACACAATACCTGAAAATCGACCTTCGTCACACTTGACTAAACACAGCAGTCCAGCTCGTGGGAAAAAACTTAGTTCTTCAAAAGAACTCGCTTGGAACTTGTATACCGTTTGACATAAGGTTCTAGAAAATACCAAACAGCAGTCGAATAGTAGTAGCTTTTCGACATATTTTATGATTTCAGTAACTGATGCAAATCTGCTGACTCATGCTGAAATGTAAACATGCCCTAATTAATTATTCATGGCTAATCCACAAACGTAGAGAACGTTCGAGAAAGTCACGCAACACATGAAAGCAATTTTACTACTTAACACTCAAAAAAGAAAAAATGTCTTTTTGCAGCATTTTGTAAATTTAAATTCATCATAAAACAGTTCGAAAGGAGGGCTCACTCGTGAAATGTTTTTCAACACTCGAAGAGAACTTTCGTGTCTGTGCGCGGCCACGAAATATCCTCTATTTATTCCTCGAGTAATTAAAGACTAAACTCGAAGTGATCTCAAGATATCACGAAGTTGTCCGATCTCATTTCGTGAAATAGTTGAAACAAGCCGAAAAGTCACGAACTTGCACGCCCAATCTTTTCCCGAAACTAGTGCATCATTTCATAACTATTTTTCATATCCCAAACTACCTAGGGTCGCAGTAGCGCAATCGACTAATCCCTCAACTTAGAGTCTCCTCTGATCTGACGGGTCACACAGGTGAGTCGGTTCAAACCCCGGGAAAGCCAAAATAATAATTCTTTCTTCCTCGAAAAAGTTAAAGAATGAATCAAAGAAATCGGAGTGATCTCGAGATATCTCGAATTAATTCGGCTCTCACTTCGTCAAATAGCCGAATAAAACCGAAAACCTACAGACTTTGCATGCCCAATCTTGTCAAAAAATTGTAACTTTGATACATTCCTGAGCGTCGCGAAACCTTTACTTCGCGCTCCGCCGAAGTAATAAGTTCAAAACCCAAAGGGTCCCAAAGGACCCAAAGCCCTGTACAGTTCCTCTACAGGTCTACGAACTGGTCTACAGACCTAAAGAGACTAAATATTATACGACCACTTAGTGATCTGGAATCAGTGCTGCTTTGGAATGCGTAGACGTTTTTGGGAGCTTTTTCATTACATTAAAACTAAGTAAAAATGTGGTAGTACTTACCAAACTGTCTCTGTCAATTTAGTGACGCGCTTCTCATTTTTGTTTACCTTACAACGAAATTTGTTCTTTTTTCTGAAATTCTCCCCTTCCCTTCCTTCTTCACAGAAGATTGCCACGCAATTAATTACTACGTCCTCTTCGCTTTCAGTTGCGACCTCGACGACCTCAGTTGCCATTGTCGCGCATTGAATCAAAGCAAAGAGAACACGAGGCTGTACGGCTGTACGAGCTAACATCCGGCTAGCCTGTTCCAAGCGTTCAGATAGTGGAGAGCGGTGCGAAGTAAAGAAAGCGATGAAAAGTAGAGGGGGACTGGGGAGAGAGGTGCAGTCACCTCTCCTCCTCCCTTTTTTTTTTTTTTTTTTCGCGCTTTTTTTTACTTCGCACCGCTCCCCCCTATCTCAACGCCTGGAACAGGCTAACATCCGGCATGCAATTTCACGAAGTCGACATCATTGGCCAAAACGGTTAATCACATTAAGTATTAACTGGAAAAGGCCGTAATTGCAAACCACAGAGTTAAATTGTAAGCTGATATAATGAACCCTGATGCGTTGTAAAACAAAACACTTGGCTCGCGCTTTCAAACCAACCGGATGCCGACCGTTCTAAAGACTGTTATCACCGCAGACACTTTTTTTCACCGAAAACCGCGACTTAAAGGTTGTAATAACCGCAAACCGCTTAGTGTTTTGAAACCGCAATACCGCGAGTTAAAATAAAAATTACCGCAAAACCGCACCAAAAATAACGCAAAACCGCATCACCGCAAACCCTTACGCCCCCCTCAATTAGAAGCGTGCTTCGAACCTTCAAATATCGTTGATAAAATAGAGCGAGATATAGCTAGATCACTTGAATTGTTATCAAAACGTGCTTGTGCTTTGCGCAATTCAGCACCTTGTTAAATCTCGTTTAACAGTGTTACAGTTAACGGAAGATGAAGTAAATATTAAATCAACTCAGCAAAGAGGCTTTTAGGAGCACCGTTATAGCGTGCCTTTCGAGTCAAAGCCAGGTAAATTTCATTAAATTGTACCACAAATCTAAGTCTTCAAAAGTTGTGAAAGTACTCTTCACTGTTTGAGTCTCAGAAGAAAGCGCCTTAAAGGAATCCACAAGCTTGCTTAGTGCTAAACTGCTTTAAATGTTGAGCCTTTTAAAATTTTAACCTTAATGATGGCTCAATTTAGAAGTCTTACAAAAATCGATTATTCAAGAATGTATATACCAATATACATCGACACCTGTGGAAAAATACTCTTATTTTCGTGTTATGATATCGTAAGATAAACACGGAAAATGACAAAAGAATAAAAGATATGCAGTATATAAAGCTTACGGATCCAAGCTTACTTGCTGAAACGAGTGCTGGATATTGTTGTTGCACATGGCCTTGTTTTGCGCAGTCAAGCCTTCAAAGTTACATTACCTGCTCAACTGGTTTTGTTGACAAGTTATAATATTCAGATAAAAAGAGAGCAAATGAATGAGCATGTTAAACCAGATTAGTTTTCACCAACCCCGCTGACGTATCCTTACAGCCGTCTGCAATTCAAGAGCATTGCCTGTTCAAATATAACACAGCTCGTGGAATTGTTATTCCCATTTACCTTTTTTCTTCTTAAATTATCGCCAATTTTCAGCGAGTTTTTATTTTCCAACTCATCGAGCCTGTTTGTCTTATGCGGGATCGTGTCATAACGTTACAGGCCACCCTGCAGGCGCA